ACTACTACTACTACTACTACTCTTCGTGCCACCGCAACAGCGCGATATCTCACCACTGCTTGGGCTACTAGGCGGACAGGCGATAAAAGTCTGCATAGAAGCTTCTTCCGAAAAAGGCGGGCTTCGGTGTTCTACTACGTGGCGATCCGTTTTTGCTCGGGAAGTGTTTTCGAATTTCCTCGAGCCGATGACAAGCTGGCACAAACTCGTGATACTGCTGCCGAACTTGACGGATGCCCTGACATGCAGCATTATACTGCTGCATTAAGTTTTGCGAACTCTATGTAAGCTGTCTCGGCCATGGCGTGCTGCTATGGCTGTGCGCCTCTCAATGTGTCATCGCACGGTAGAGCCGCTTTATGCCGCCTTGGCTTTGCTATGGTTGCATTTTTTATAAGTTCAATATGTGCGTCTGTACGAACTTTCGCACAACAAAGATTGGAAGGAGCCTTCAAAACTTTCTCCTAACCGGTACTGTCATGCTGACGGCATGAAGGCCTCTCATGCAGAAGCCACGTTTGAGAGCCCTGTGGCCTTGCCTGCCTTGCGCGAGTGTGTGTGTGTGTCGAAACCGAGCCACATGCCTCGCCTGGAGTGTCCGAGTGTGAGCGCCGAAACCCTAAACCGTGTCCCGTGATCTGCAGTCTGCGGTTTCTGATTTCTAGTATCTCAGGAGTCCAGCGACCAGCTAGAGTCTCCTAAAGAAGACATGGATGACGCGTCCAGCTCTTCATCAGCGATGCCCCTTGTCTCGGCAAGTGTCTGCATGCAGCAGAGAGTCAAGGTGGAGGGGTTGCTCAACCCGACACCAGGACTTGTTTGGAAAGCCCTACCTGTCTTGAGCGAGTGTGCGAGTCGAAACCCAACACCATGGAGTAGCGGTAGCGATGCGTTTCGAGTTTCCTGTGGAAAAGCAGATCTTCTGAAGCAGGATGCCTCGGGAGTGAGCGAAGCTTAGGTACATGGAGTTGGAGCTGACAAATCTATTCGCGCACTGAGCATGCACAGCTCCTATACAGTATCTGAAAGCTGCCTGCGATATCGTGTTTCTGAGCCCGGTGAGAGGTTTAATTTAAAGGCCGAGGAAACGCCACCGGCAAAAGCCGACATGTTGCCACCGATATGCCAGAAGGGCACCCCGCCCCCCGCCCTTCTGTGTCTAAACGAAGAGCAGCAAGACCTGTTGGGTGACGTGTCCTCCCACTGGAGATCCTGGCTGATAGACATTGGTCTTCCAGCAAGGTGTCTGGAATGGCTTTCTTGGATCATGCGGATGCGCGAACACGGAGCAGACCGTGCGATTTTATCCATCAGGCACGACGGCAGCAGCGTTGCAGGTGGTGATGGGTGGATCGCACACATTTCATACCAAGACTGTTTCGGCCACCGCGGTGCCTCACCAGGACGTCAAAACATGCCGTCTGTCTATGCCGCATAATCCCCAAAGGCACTGTGAAGTAGGCCACAGTTCTGGCACGGTTTCATTTAATTAAGGCGAGCTGCATAACGCAGCGCATGTGTATGCAGGTGCTGGACGGTGTTCTTCACGCTGTGCACTCTTACGCCGCATCCACTGCAGGTATAGCCAATGCAGAGCCAATGATTGCAAGTGCCTACCTGCATGCACATGCTTCTCGATACATATTGACATAGGCGCAGAACAGGGAGCTGCGTGCGTCGGCCGTTGCTTGGAGTGTAAGTTTTAAGTTTATGCAAGCGAGGAGGCTTCTTTCTCCCGCTGACTCTGCTGGACGCCTTAGAAATCAAGTGTGCAACTGCTGCTTCAGGCTTCAGATGTCCTCGGAAGTAGACGGTTAGAATGACTTTTTCGTAGTTGTTGCTTCACTGTGCTGTTATTTACAAGACTCTACGTCTACCGTAAATGTTTAACCAGCCTGGATGCGACTGAGCGGTGCGAAGTGTACTTTCTGATTTCTGAATATTTTTTCAATGCGGAATGAAGCAGAAACTACAGCTTATATCCAGGAGTAGGAAGACATGGCTCTTGTGGTCCTGGTCTTTCAAGATGCCTGACCCACATCAAGTACGGGGCACTATGCAAGCCCTGATTCTATTTGTTATGAGGCCCCTAGTTCTGTGGGAAATTGGATGCTTTAGACGGCTGTGCTTACCCTAAACCCTATAAGCCCTAAACCCTAAATCCCTAAACCCTAAGTGTCTTGCGCCGCCCGGGCAGTCCGGATTCACCCTTCAGGTCCCCCTGGAGTGGGAGTTTCCGAAAACACGGGGGGGGGGGGGGGGGGGG